TAGCCACTTGTGACAGTCTATGTCGAGGGGACCTGAGGCCCCTGAATGACAACCACCAGCACCAACTATGAATGAGGATCTTTTGGACCTTTAAGCCATCCCAGGGCTCCAGCTGATAAGAACAGCTACCTTGTCAATCTACAGAATCATGACAAATAATCAATGAATTCTGATTAAAGCTATTAAGGTTTGGGGTGGTGTTTTGGTTACCTAATGCCACTCTAACAGAAATGCCACAAATGGGATGGCTTTAACAAATAGAAGTTCTTTCTCTTACAATTTTGGAGGTTAAAAGTCCAAGTTCTAGGCTCTAGGGGCTAAGTGAAAGCCCTTAACCTTAGGGTTCAGCTCTGCTTCTGCTCCCAGCCCACTGAAGCTGGAGGCTTTTCTTCACTCAGACAGCTGCTGGCTGCTGAGGCTGACAAGCCCAAGGTTGACAAGTAAAAAGGCACAGTCCTGATGTTACCAAACCATATGGCAGGCCATTAATTCAAGTCTAGATGAAGTCCTAAGATGGGCAGTGCATGGCAAGCAGTCGAACAACAACTTGGCTGCATGCAGAGTTCAAGCGTGCCAAAAGGCTAGAGACTATTCCCAAAGCTACTTCTTATATATGGGTAGCAGACCACATCCCTAAAGCAGCTACTCAGCTGCTTGTGGCAGATCCCATCATGGAGTTGACTGCCAGTCTCATCATGGGGAATAACTATCACCAGCTGCCCAGCCACTCAACCAGGCCCAGCCAGGTTGACACACAACTTTAACCACCACAGGTGGTTTTTAATGCAATGACAGACAACCAAAACAATCTTATTTGATTTTCATAACAATCCTATGAAGATAGGTACTTACCTTTATGTCACAGATGAGCATACTAGAGATCAGAATGGTTAGGCAACCTAGGTCATATCACGTAGCTCATATGTGGCAGAGCTGGAACAAATGTCAGTTATGGAATCTGAGTGGCTGACTTATTTGTGGGGCCATTAACCAAAACACAGCCATAATGAGGAGTTAATTTAGAGAAAAATCAAACAACCTTTTCTTAAACAACTATTCCTTATAACATCAGGCTTGTAAACAAAGAAAACTTACGTATAACAGAACAAGACATTGCCCATCCCTGCACTATCAGTAAAGATAATGGGAGGAAGAACCCAAGCAATCAGAACCATACTGATAAACACTAGGTAGAAGATACAGAGTGGTTCTTGGGCACTGGGAGAGCTATCCAGTAAGTCTCAGCAGGGTAGGCAGAGGATTAATCAGGAAAGCCTTCCCAAAGGAGGTGATGATTAAATTGAGTTCTCTAGAAATGAAAAGAAGTTAATCTCTTGGGGAGAGTAACTAAGACACATGCAAAGGCCAGAACTGGAAAGCAGATGACTCCTTAATCACTAACACTGCAACTCATTTGGAGTGCTGCATTGTGCTTGTATGGGAGGGAAGGGGAAGATAAAAATGGTGGGTCTGGAGAAGAAAGGAAGGTGCCTTGGTGATGTAGTGGTTAAGTGCTCAGCTGCTAACCAAAAGGCCGGTGGTTCGAACCCACTAGCCACTCTGTGGGAGAAAGATGTGGCAGCCTGCTTTTGTCAAGATTTACAGTCTTGGAAAGTCTATGGGGCAAGCCTACCCTGTCCTATAGGGTCTCCTGGAATCCACTCAGTGGCAACTAGTTTGGTTTTTGGAAAGGGAAGCAGACATGGGAGACCATGGGAGGTCTTTTATGCTATGCTGAGAAGGTGTTATCTCATAAGGACAAGGGAAAGCCGCTGGATGAGGGGTTTTATACAGGAAGTGATGTAATTCTATTTGTCTTTCAAAAAAATCACACTGGGTGCATTGTTAGAAAATGAATTGAAAGGAGTAAAACATAGGCAGAATGCAAGCTGGGAGGCTATACTTGCATTAACAGAAATTAGGAAGTGGTTAGGAGATACCACTGATGAGAAATCCACCAGTTAGGACATCCAGCAAGAAGAAAGGAGAGAAGTGGCTGTATTCAAGAAATAAAAAGGAGAGGGAATAAAATGACTTGATATGTAAGAAGATATGATTGTTCCTTTACTTGGTTACAAAACTATTGATTCATATAATTATTAAAAGTGCTTTTGTAATAATTATAATGAATATAATTCATTCAGTTCCCTTCAAAAATAGTCTTTAAAATGGTATATAAGATGATGTAGAAAGGGATAAAATTAATAACAGTAATTTCTAAAATATATCAAGCACCTTATCATGGAAGTTACAATACTATAAGTTTATGTGTATTTTCCCATTCAATTTTCCCAAAAATTTCTTAACTAGGTAGTTATATCTTTCTTTATAAATAAGAAAAGTGAGGCAATTTTAGGCATATCATTGATTGATTGATTCAACAAATTCATATTCTTTATATTATATATGCCGGTCATTATGTTAGGGGCTACAAGGGACGACGAAGAAAAATACATGGTATTTGCCCTAGAGACACCCATGGCAAAGAGGGTAAACCTGATGATATAAACAGAAAATTCCACTATAGTGTACTAAGTATCATTACAGTAATTTGGTCCAAGGACAGTGGGAGTACCCTAGTGATGACCATCTTTAATAGAGAGGAAAACGTCCCCTAGAAAGCATCTATCAACATAAACTCCTACAGTTCAGTGGAAGCCAAACACTGAACACTGCTTTGTAGTTTCGCTGGTTATGCCATGAGTAAATTCTGCTGGATATGAGAAAAGAGGCAACAGAGTGGATAATGTGGGGTAGGGTGGCATGAGGAGGGGAGAGTGTACAGGCCAAAATTCACCCCCAAGTTCCAGGTGTAGGTCTGCCCAAAGAGGGCACCTTAACAGCTTGTAGCCAAAACCAAACAAAACCTGTTGTTGTCAAGTCGATTCTGGGTCATAACAAACCTAGAGGACAGAGTAGAACTGCCTATAGTGTCTCTAAGGCTATAAATCTTTGTGGAAACAGACTACCACATCCTTTTCCTGTGGAGTAACTGGTAGGTTCAAATCACTGATCTTTCAGTTACCAGCCAAGCACTTAACCACTGTACGACGACGGCTTCTGGTCTAGTGGCAGCCCTGGGCAATGATATTTTTGATGTCCAATAAAGGGACTGCCATGAGTATTTTATAATTGACTCAGCTCAGCTCATTTGACTCTTCAACTTGCTCCTTCCTCCTTGGACTAAATCCACTCAAACTAATTCTAGCTTTCCATTTCCTGAATCCCAGCCTCAACTTTATGCAGAATTAGCATAGGTGAGAGCAAGGAAATTTAATTAACTGCTGCCTGGAAACCATGAGGAACTTTTCATGTTCTAAGACAAGTATCTTTAACTTGTCATGTATAAACCATGGCAGGATCCAGTGAGTATAAGTGAGACACCACAGTTTTCCAATGATATACTGTTTTTTCTCCATCTTACTTATAACTTCAAGGCATTCTTGGCAGTAAAATTGGCAAGAATTATTGTTAATCATTAAATTACTCGTTTGCTACTCAAGTAATAACAACTTACAAGCACTATTATTTTATGTAAATTTGAAGACAAAAACAAAATGTTTTCCTAAGTACTGTACCATACTCACCATTAAGTTGATTCCAACTAAGATCTTAAAAAAAGATGGTAGAAAAGTTTATAATGACAATTGTTGTGGGTGTCATTAATTGATTCTGACTTGTAGCGATCCCATGTGACAGACTAAGACGACCTTCTAAGGTTTTCCAAGCTGTGATCTTTACGGAAGACTTTCACCCAAGGAGCTGGTAGGTGGATTCAAGCTACCAACCTTTTGATTAATAGCTGAGCACTTAACTATTTGCACCACCAGGGTTCTTTATAATGACAGTAAACACTAAAATTAACTCAATGTTTTTGTTTTCTTATTTGCACTCTTGGTCGAAAGAGATAGTATTAGAAAGTAAACCACAAAAGGCTGTGAAGCAGTGAGCATTGAGTTTGCAGTCAGCAGTTCTATATCTATAGCAAAGTGTGCCTGTTAATTGGGGATTTTATCTATAGACTCTTGAGCCAACTGGAAGGAATCTAAGAATCTACTTTCCAGGAGGGCTGTAATTCCTAAGGATGCCCATGTGTTGTGGGTGGGGAGGGAGAATATGTAAGAAAATATCTAACATAAAGGTCATAAACAAGATCATGTGAAAAGATTATTATCTAGGAGGGAGTGGAAGTATCCTTCACTAGCTCTTTATGATGATTTATTTATTATTTAAGTTACAATGTATATATTGTAGGCGGTTTAGTATATTAACTCATTAACAACCTCTAGGGAGAAGCCAGACTTATCCGCAGGCTGGTTTCTTGAATTTTCAAATCCACCAGCCACTCCTTGGAAGGAAGACTGGGTGATCTACTTCTGTAGAGATACTGCCCCAGAAACCCAAAGAGGGGTTGCTATGAGTCAAATCGACTC